GCTGCAAGTACCAATTGATCAATAGTAGGTTAGAATAATGCAAATATACCACCTCAGCACACATGAGTTATACACTTTTCCAAATGGAAACTGTATTTAAAGAAGTTACATCATTGAAAATGAAAGAAAGGTGGGAAAAAATGGAGGCTCACACCAAACTGCAAAGCTGAATAAATTTAGCTCTTAGCCCTGGTCAAAGTTTTCATTGTGGCTTCTATGGAGTTTAGGAGCAGAAGTAGGCCATTCAGCCCATTGAACCCGCTCAACTATTCAGTACAATCACACCTAATCATTTACTTTTATGTCTTTCCCCCACACTATCCCCAAAGCATTAGAAATCTGTCAAACACTATTTCGAGCATGTTTAAGGACTGAGCTTCCACAGCCCTCAGGGTAGTGAATTCCAAAGACTCACAACTCTGTTAGTAATGAAATCTCTCCTCAACTCAGTCCTAAGCGGCTTCCCCTTACTTTGAAATTGTGTTGCATTCCCAATCAGGGGAGGCATCTTACTTGCATCTATCCTGTCTCTCCCTTTAAGCATTTTGTTGATTTCATTGCAATCATCTTTCATTCTTTGAAACTTTAGAGAATATAGGCCAAGTTTCTCCAATATATCTTCATACTACAGTCCTGCTATACTAGGAGCAAGTGTAGTAAGCCTCTTGTTGCACTACCTCATTGGTAATAATACCCTTACTAAGGTCAGGGGACCAAAACTGCTACTCCATATGTGGTCTAACCAGAGTCCTGTACAATTCGAGCAAGACTTTGCTTTTCTTGCATTCAAATCTTTCCATGATAAAGGCTAATGATTAGCCATTCTAATTGCTTGCTACAGCTTCATGTTAGCCTTCAGTGACTTATTGGCAAGGACATGCAGGTCACTTCATAGAGCTACACTTGTTAATCTCTTACCATTCAAGAAATCCTCTTCACATCTGTTCCTCCTACCAAAGTGAATAGTCTCTCATTTTACCACATCATATACCAACTGCCATGTTGTTGCCCATTCAATAAGTCTGTCCAAATCTTCTTGAAGCCACTTTGCATATTCCTCACAGGCCACATTCCCATCTGGCTTTGCGTCATCTGCGAACTTGGAAATATATATTTAATCCCTACATTTAAATCATTGATATATTGTGAACAGTTGGGTCCCAAGTACCGTTCCTTATGGTATGCCACTAGTCACAGTCAGCCAATGCGAGATGAATCATTCATTCCTAGTCTCTGTTTTCTGTCTATTAGTCAAGCCTTAATCCACGCCAGCATATTACCTCCTATCCTATGTGTTTTAATTTTGTTGACAAACCTCCTGCAAGATATTTTACCAAAAGCCTCTTGAAAATCCAAATATACTACGTCCAAACCTCCCCTTTAACAATACTGTTGTAATTCCTTTGATAACCTCCAAAAGGTTAGTCAAACATGATTTCCCACACAAATTTATGCTACATTGAATCAGATTATTATCCAAGTGTGCATTTATGACATATTTCAAATAGATTCTAGCATTTACCCTATAACTAATGTAAGGTTGACAATCGGTAATATCCTTTTTTCTGTCTCATCCTTCTTAAATAGTGGGGTGACATTTGCTGCCTTCCAATCTACAACCATTCCAGAATTTATAGAAACTTGGAATATGATCACCAATGCATCCTCTAACTCCAACAGTCTTCTTTTGACATGATGCAATGTAGAATGTTAGATCACAGGAACTTATCAACCTTCAACACCTTTAATTTCTACAATGCTCCTCCTTGCAAAGACTAATTTGCTTTGATTCCACTTTCTTGCTAGTCCCCTGGATTTCTAATTCTGAGAGATTTATTGTATCTTCCTCAATGATAACAGACACAAAGTAGTCATTTAGCATCTCTGCCTATGTTCCAATGCTTCATCTCTCAATTCCACATTATAAATTCTCTTGACTCATCTTATAATTGCCCATATTTGTCTTAGCCAGATATTCCCTTTCTCTCTCTCTCTCTGTCATATATATATATATATATATAGAGAGAGAGAGAGAGAAGCTTTTTCTCTGCTCCTATGATGCTGCTTGGCCTGCTGGGTTCATCCGGCCCTGCACCTTGTTGTCTCGGATTCTCCAGCATCTGCAGTTCCTACTATCTCAGAAGCTTTTTCAGTTTGTTTTTATGTTTCTGGCTAACTTACATTTATATGGTGTCCTCCTTTTCTTTACCAGTACCTTGATCCTCCTTTATTGTAATATCCTCCCAAACCTCACAACTGTACGGGCTATTTCGTTTAACTTTATGCAGTCCTTAACTATCCACGAATGTTTTTGCAACTTGAAGAAGTATGATTGCTGTGAACTATACATTAATCTTTTAAAAAATATCAATTGTTTAAGTACCATCATACTTATAATGCATTGTCCTAATTTGCCTCAGCCAATTTGCCCCAATACCTTTGTAATTTCCTTTATTCAATTTTAATATCTTAGCATCAGATTGTTAATGATCCAAATTTTGATACATAACACTAGATCTGAAATAGTTTATATGTAGTCTGAAGTAACCCATGATTACTACATTATGTATATATTACACTACATGCTCTTGAATCAAAAACAGAAATTTCCAACAAAACCCAGCAGGTCTGGCAGTATGTGTGGGGATACAGCAGCGTGAACATTTCAAGTCTGGTGACTCTTCTAATGAAGTTCCTTCACTGTCGCTGGGTCAAAATCTTGGAATTCCCTCTCTAATGGCATTGTGGGTCAACCCACAGCAAGTGGACTGCAGCGGTTCAAGAAGGCAGCTCACCATCATCTTCTCAAGGGCAACTAGGAATGGACAATAAATGCTGGGCAGCCAGTGACACCCACATCCCACAAAAATAATTTTTAAAAAGCCTCAACTTCAATGTCCTGCCCACTGTCCATAACCGTTCAACCCATTGCTCAGTAAAAATCTGTTTATCTCCTCCTTAAATTTATCCAATGTCCCAGCATCACACTCTGGGGTACTGAATTCCACAGATTCATGACCCTTTAAGAGAAATAATTTCTCCTCATCTCTGTTTTAAATCTGCTGCTTCTTATCTTAAAACTATGACCTCTTGCTCTAGATTGCCCCACATGAGGAAACATCCTCTCCACATGTGTTTTGTTAATTGCCTTTAGGATCTTATATACCTCAATTAGATCTCCTTGCATTCTTCTAAACTCCAGATAGCATAGGCTTAAATTGCTCAATCTCTCTTCGTAAGACAAACCCATCATCTATGAAGTCAATCGCATGAACCTCCTCCGAACCTTCTCCATACTCCAGGTGCGGTCTCATTAATGCCTTGCAGAGGTGCAATAACACTTCCTTACTTTTATACTCTATTCCTTTAGCAATAAATGCCAAAATTCCATTTGCCATTCTTATTACCTGCTGTGCCTCCATACTAGCTTTTTGTGATTCATGCACAAGGAAACACAGATCCCTCTGCACCAAAGCACTCTGAAATTTCTCTCCATTTAGATATTACATTGCCTTTCTATTCCTCCGACTAAAGTGGATAACCTCACACTTATCCACGTTAAACTCCTGCCAAATTCTGGCTCATTCACCTATCCATATCCATTTGTAAATTTCTCATTTCTTCATTGTTTCATTTTCGGAAGTCGCTGCCTCATGAGGGAGTGTTGTTCGAAACTCACCTACTCCAAAGGTGTGACATAATATTTGGGAACAGATTGGTTCAAAATAACAAAAGCTGAGTTAAAAGGACTCTTGAGGTAACAGTGATAGTGACCCTGCCAATGGACCAGAAGGTCCAGCTTCAAGTCTCAGACCTGGGCAGCATGGTGGCTCATTGGTTAGCACTGCTGCCTCACAGTGCCAGGGACTGCCTTCAATTCTACCCTTGGGTGACTGTCTGTGTGGAGTTTGCACATTCTCCCTGTTTCTGTGTGGGTTTCCTCCAGGTGCTCTGGTTTCCTCCCACAGTCCGAAGATGTGCAGGTTAGGTGGATTGGCCACGCTAAACTGCCATAGTGTCCAAGGATGTGCAGGCTGGATGGATTAGCCATGGGAAATGTGGTTTTACAGGGTTAGGGTAGGGGACACGGTCTGGGTAGGATGCCTTTGGGAGGGTCGGTGTGGACTCGATGGGCCGAATGGACTGCTTCCACACTGCAGGGATTCTATGATTTGCTGGCCAGCACGGTCAGAATCTGAAACCACCGAAAGCTACATAAGCGGTGAATCATTTCCCGGGTGAATTCTCGCCTGGAAGAACTCCTCGTCCTCTGCAGAAATAAACCCTGATTTTCAAAAAGAAAACAAAGTAGTCTGCGGACATGGGCGGCTGCGGATTTTCAGCGCTGTGGCTTTAAGGATCACTCACTTACTCGGTCGGGGGTAGAGGCGCTGGCAGCGAGGTGTTGAGAAGTGATGGAGAGAGAGGGAGCTAGTGGTGTGCACTTGTCTGACAGAGAGGGAGAGGAGAAGAGATGGGAGAGGAGGGGAGGAGATGGGAGAGAGGAGGTGAGAAGAAAGGGGGGGATGAGATGGAGAAGAGATGGGAGAGATGGAGAGAAGAAGAGAATGGAGAAAGGGAGGGGAGAAGAGATGGGAGAGAGGAGGGGAGAAGAGATGGGAGAAGAGGGGGGCAGAAGAGGGGTTAAGAAAGGGGGAGAAGAGATGGGGAGAAGAAGAGATGGGAGAGAGGGAGGGGAGAAAGGATGAGGGGAGGGAGGGAGTGGAGAAGAGATGGGAGCGAGGGAGGGGTGTTCGTGCCTTGAAGCAGCCGCATCCTCCTCCCGCTCTGCTTTTCCAGGAAGGAGAAGATACACAGAGGGAGCAGGAACACCACCTTGATCTGAGTGTTGTCTCACACACAGAGCGGTGAAAGTAGCTATCGCTCCTCCTCCGGAGACTCACCTGATCGCTGGCGTACACCAACGTGCTGGGGATGTGAGCGGCTGGAGGAGCAGCAGTAATTCAGCGCTGGGAGATGCTCAGTTTACCGCTGAGGGTGTTCCCCAGCCCACTGCCTCAGTTCTTACCCAGTCCAGCAAACCGTGAGAACTGGGGACAGCGGAGAAACCACCGCAGCTCATTTCCATATAACCAACTCCTTGTTTTCTTGGAGAGATAGACCCCCCCCCCCCCAATTTTTTTTTTTTTTTAACCAACAAAAGTAATCGCCAGTTCAAGTCATGCAGTTGTCCCCTAAGGAACCACAGAGAAAGAACATGTGGGATCTGGCCATAGAGGTCGGCATGAGAGTTTTCCTCTTTGGAGTTTTTGTGTAAGTAGATCTGTCTTCTATTCAGCTTGGCTTATCTTTAAAGCAAACTCAATTTGTCACCATTTCCATTTCCAACCTGTGTAAATAGGAATTTCATAGTATCCTCTTGCCCCTTGTGTTCTGGCCATTGCCTTCTCTTTTTATTGTTTTCTATATATTGTTTTCTAGATGTCAGTGGTTGTGGCGGTTTCTACTTTTGTTTCTTCCCACAGTCACCACACCCCCATCCCCTTCCCCTCTCCAATTAATTCCCTTTCTCCTTCCCCTCTTCCTGTATCATTTCTTAGGAATCTCTTTAACCACACTTTCTGCACCTTCCTCGTCCTTTCCCACACTATGTCTGCACCTTGAAGTCTAACCAGTTTAAAATCCACGGCTGGAAGTGAGTCAGTGTCTACTGCAGGATATCCTTCACCAACCCCCTATAAAACTGCGAGACAGACTATAGCAGCTGCAGTTATTCAAAGCGTGCTGAAGCAATCTACCGTCCTGGTTTGCATTTCCTTCAGCTCCAGTCGCATACATTTTTGTTAAAAGAAGTATCTTTTGAAACAGAAGCCAATCCTGTCTGGTGACCGGATTCTGTTGCTCTCTGACTAAAGCCCGTATTACTTGGTAAGTATGATTGTTAATATCTGTTCCTCCGGTTTATCCTGTCAGTTTTAAGCCACCATCTTTTACACAGGTACACAGCTGACTTCCAGCAATATTCACTTGCAGGTTACTAAAGAAATAAACTGCCACCGTTTCTCTTGGACATTGAGTAAGTTGTAATGTGTGAGACTCCTAAGGGCAGGAGCGAGGCTTTCCCCAGGGTGATTAATGTGTTCCATTGACAGCGTTGGAGGGTGTAATTTGTTATGTATCTGCCAGTAAGTGTGATGCGTGCTGCAACACATCTGTTGATCAGCAGCCGAAATTCAATCAAACTAAATACGAAATTAAATAAAGACAATTAGTGTTATTATTCATGCAAATTACCTGCAAAGTAAAATGTTTTCATTTTTGTTCTGCCCAAACCGTTCAGTTAAACTAATTTCGAACTCCTTGAGTGGGGAATTGTCTCGAATAGAATGGGTTTTTTTTGCACTTAGTCTTTTGTGTTTCAGCAAATTATTCATCTAATGCGTTTAATGTTTAGCAGTGCTACTCCCTCAGCAGGTATAAAGTAGAATTCAATTAGTGCAGCTGCAGTTTGCAGATGTCCAATGTCGCCGTGAAGCATCCCCCAGGAAAATAAGCGCACGGTGCTCTGATTTGCAGAAGAAAAACGATTGTATGAGGAGATGAAAAATGTACTTTAATACTGGTGTGGTGCCTCCTATTGGGGATAATCTGTTATTGGTGCGGGGTATTCTATACAGTGAAATATGAAAGCTTATTTATATATTTGAGGTTTTCAGTACATTTCCACCCCTTCCTTCTAGATGTGAAAACTTCACCTGAGCACCAGACCTTCAGCACACCGCTCTAGTTTAGATCTGGCTGCTTTAGCATGCAGCACAACTGTTTCACCTTTTGGTTGTAAGAGCTTCATATTGCTGCACCACCCTTTCACATTAAGTTTGTGTGCCTCGGCACACTGCGCCACCTTTCCACATTAGTTTTGGGTGCTTGAACATGACATGCCACCAGCTCAAAATGCATTTTGGTCCTTCACCACACCACCCCGCCCTGAAATCTTCTGGATTTGAGTGCTTCTGTATGCACCAGCACCTATTTTTTTGCATTAGATTCAATTGTTTCAACACCATACCCATATATTTTCTCACATTAACTATTTTGGTTCCTACTCCCTTTGCAACCTGCAAAGTATTCTGACTTTTACCAATATTTATTCCAGAAAAATACTTTTTCATATCACAAAACCTTAATGTCCTCACCTATTTATATATTTAATTATGTGAAGTCACATGTAACTTGAAACCAGGAGAAAATTAAGATTTGTCTTTATGATTCAGCATGCCAAAAAACTTAAAACTTTGTATAGGTACTGCTGAATATTGTCTTTCGTTTCAAAATGGCCTCAACAATAGAGTATTGTTCTACATTACTGCATTACGATTCTGTATATGTAACTATAATCTCAAAAGGTTTGTTTGACTGAAACAGATCCTTTGTAAAATAATTACACTTGCGGAAGAGGATGCATAAGTACTCAAAACATTGTCCCTGAGCCCCACTTGTATCTGCACACTTGTAATAAATAGTTACTTGAGTTGCACAAATGAGTGAAAAAAACTATAGTCAACTTTACTGATTATAAATAAAATCTGTAGTAGTTGGAAATCAGTTTGCATCTGGCAACTAATACCTTTGTATAATCCCAGAATAAACAAGTGTGGTTTGATGGTGAGGTACTGCAGCACTTAGTAGGTTTTAGGGCAACCCATGGCTCAGTAATAACATTCTTGTCTTTAAGTCAGAGGTCATCAGTTTAAGGTTCTCTCCACATACTTGAGCACATAATCTTGGCTGACACTTCAGTACAGTTCCAACAGAGTGCTGCATTGTTGGTGGTGTCAGCTTTCATAAGGAACATTAAAGTAAGGATTTATCTTCAGCCCTGGGTGCAGGGGTGGGTGCTCTTCTAGTGACCTGTCAATCTTCATCTCTCAACTGTTATTACTATGTTACCAAAAGAATTTGGGCCTAACTTCAATCTGTTTAAAACCAATGCACTTACACAAAGATAAACTTGGGCCAGTTATAGGTGCCTGATAATTATCTCATTGGCTTTTATAGAACCTTGTGTGCTTAAATTAATGATGGCATTTTATTTTCTTCATAAGAGTTACCACACTTAAGAACATTGGCTTGGATGGGATGTCCTGTGGCTGTGAGAATGCAGGTTTAGGTAGAAGGAGGTGGAAGTTTACTATTTGCTGGAAGTTGATTACTAATTGCTGAAAATTAATTACTAATTTGTAGTTATTTTTATCATCCTTGTATAAGCTTAATTCACCACCCCTCGAAGTACAGTACAGACTTTTAAGATCTTAAGTGAAGCGCAGTGCTTTCAGAATGTTAGACATAAATTCATGTCTGTGCCAGTTGTAATATTGCTGGCAAAATGTACTCTACTCCAAAGTTCTGGAAAAGCAACATTTCAATTTTTTGACAACGGTAAACATTGTTTCCCATATATTTCCCCCCCCCGGCCCCATTCCTATTTGGCCAGATTGAAGCAACCACAAGTCATAAACACAAGTTAGCCAGCAATGAAATATCTTGTTAAAATTCCCAATATTTAACATGATTCAAACATTCATTGCTTGAAATTAAGATTTGTAATTCTCACTTTTATAATTAGATTTCATATTCAATTTTCCAATTCATGTTAAATCATCATTCGTAATTACTTAGATAACAAGGTGTAGAGCTGGATGAACACAGCAGGCCAAGCAGCATCAGAGGAGCAGGAAGGCTGACGTTTCGGGCCTAGACCCTTCTTCAGAAATATTTACTTATTTGGTTGCTGATACAGGGATTCAGGTAGTGTTTGTATCATCCAAGCATAGAACTATAGTTCAAATGAATGAACCATGAGAGAAGAAGGGCATTCTATACGAAGATATGAACTAAGGTGCCAACAAATAAATAGGCCAAAGATTTACAAGGAATACACATTTTGCATTATTTACAGAGGTTATTCACAATATACTTTGCAAATGAACTTAATTGTTAAGAGAAAAAAATGACATATATAGAATTGATATTTTTCAACTTGACATTGATTATTTTGTGTTTTCAGAAGAGAATTCAACCCTATTTAAGTCACTGCTTTCTCAAAAGAGAGAAATAGCTCCTGGACGTTCGACTATTTGCCCAGATAAACTGAATACTGCTTTGCTATGGTCAGTGAAGCGCAGGAAAATGCAATGCACCATAAAGGTGCAATGGCAGTGTTTTAATATTAAATATGGCTGTGCATCATGGCACATCAAATAGTGATGGAACATTCAATGTAAAAAGTAAAGAAAAAAAGATTTCAAAATGGAAAATGCAATTTTCATGTTTGTTTCTTTGTGAGAATTTTTTCATGCAGTAATCCATGCAGTATGATCGTGCTTTTGTTCATAAAAATGTAAATTATGAAGTGGTTTAAATATAGCAATTCTAATAAATTAGTGCAGTGTATTTTTGCATATTTTAAACTTTAAATTCAGCAACTTCAAATTAACAAGATTTGGTTGAGTAGAATGTTTCGAATGCAGGGACACATTGTGCAGGATGTCAAGCAGGCAACTGTGCTAAATTGTTTCAGCTCCAATTCATTAATAAACTATTTGTGAAATAACTTTAAAATTTAAAAACTATACTTACTCATGGTAGGTTTCTAACATCCAACACAAGAATCGTTCTCCTTTCTTTTACATTTTTTTAATCATTAAAGCCAATTTAAAGGAAGTGTACACTTGGCCTGATCATCAATCCATGGCATCACGTGTTAATATTGGAAGCATATTGCACATGAGATAAAATTACTTAACTAGGAGAATAGCAAATGAAGATTGATTTAAGAATGTTGTATCAAACTTTATGGCTTTTGCATCTGTGCTAATCTTCTGACATGTATTTTAGTGTTCTGCTTAGAACATTTATTTCCTGGGAAACTGAATATAAATTTTTAAAAGATTAAATGTAAAAATATTGTAGTATACTAAAATGGTTTTACCAGCTTATGTTACTGTTACCAAAACATTTGACATATATAGGGCCAGATAGTTCTGCAGAATGTGTCTGGCTGAATGACGTTTAGGTAATCTTTTTCTGTCACCATTCAGATCACTGAATATTTTCAATATAAAGTGCTGGATCATCAGTGATAATGGTGCCATTTTATGTCTTATCTGGGATTTCAAGAATGTTATGCCCATTGGTCTATCTCCTTAACCATCAAAGATAATGTTATGATCCCAGCTGGAGTTATTACCAGACAAGTCAGATCCCAGACAGGAACCTAGCTTGATCGACTTAATTTTGATTTGTTTCAATTTTAACAAAGCAGATTCTTGCTGAAACATAGGCACACAATGCTGCTGATTTTTGTTTTAATAATAAAATTTGATGTTGTGAAAGAAATCAATATAATATAGAATAAACCAAACCATTTACTTATGATACAAATGCAAATTTTTTAAACACACAGTTAAAATATAAGAGATAACAAGGTGCAGAGCTGGATGAACACAGCAGGCCAAGCAGCATCATAGGAGCAGAAAGGCTGACGTTTCGGGCCTAGACCCTTCATCAGAAAAGGGGGAGGGGAAGGGGGTTCTGAAATAAATAGGGAGAGAGGGGGAGGCGGATAGAAGATGGATAGAGGAGAGGATAGGTGGAGAGGAAACAGACAGGTTGAAGAGGCAGGGATGGAGCCAGTAAAGGTGAGTGTAGGTGGGGAGTTGGGGAGGGG